TTGAAAACAGTTCTGTTTATCCGTGCATACAACTGAGGGATGTTATATTTACTCTTTTGAATGTCCTGTGATTTTTTTATGATTTTAATGCCTTGTGTGATTGTCTCTCTCTTGTTTTGTTCAGCACTTTGTTTTCTTTTTTTGACTTACTGATGACAATGAATGAATTAATGTATTGTCTTATTTTTATTTTTTATTTTTTTGTAATGCGTTCGTCTTAACTGGGAAGATTAGCAAACCCAACCACATTGGTGGAAGCTAACGCAGATCCCCAATAAACAATAAACTTTGAGTTGCCTTGTGCATGAACTGTGCTATTCAAATAAACTTGCCTTTCCTTGTTATTGGAGCGCAAATATATAAAGCATAGATCTGTTTTGTCAATGTTGCCCTAGCCTCGCCATCTGCTCGCCTTTTCCCTTCATGCGCAATCAGTCTTTGGGCGTGGACACTTCCCTGCGCCGTTCTTCAAATTCCACCTTCCACTTTTTTCAACGCTTCTCTCTTTAAGATGGTGTCCACGCAGGGCAAGTCTGGAAAATGAGTAGTGGTAGTGTCAGAGAAGCCATTTGGAGCCTGATTGATGGTAGCAGGCGAACCGCAGCCGCCATGTTCCCTGATCTCCCTGTGTGCGAGGCATGCGAGGCACTCTCTTCGAAACGGGAGAAGTCCTTTCAAACCGCTGACCACTGGACAGATTGCATTAGATCTCATCATATTTGTCACTGCGGCCCTAAATAGATGATGTATCTGAATTTTAACGTGCCTTGTCAAGAATGATCAGACTGGAAAATACGTATAATGAGATAGAGCTGAGAAGTGACGGTTCAAAAAGAAAAAAAATCATTAAAAATCTTCATATGAGTTTAGAGAAAGTCCAAAAATTAAGAGTTTGAAGAAAAGGTGGAAGTTTCCTAGCTCCCTTGTAACTACCATCAACTTTATGGAATATTCTGCCAAATAATTGTAACCGACAGTTTTTAATGTTTGTTAATCAAAACATATACACTTATAGAGCTTGTGGTCACTACTCACCAGATTATTGTTTAGCTCCCAACACATTTTCAGTCTGTTATAATTTCTTTATTTTCTTTATTTAATTTCATTCTTTTTTTGTAATCCTTACGGGTATTTTGAATGAGGGTTTTCATTGTGGAATCAGAAAGTAGGCAGAGACTTGATTCCTGTAATTCTGAAGTTTTTTTTTTAACAAACTAAAGAATGTTAACCATTTAACATTCACTACTTGAAGAAAGTAATGTATTTTATTACTTTTTGGATTTTCTCAGATGAAGAAACTAATCATATTTGTTAACAGATTAGTTTTTACGTTTAATTTTTTCTTCTATTTTATTTTTTTCTTATAGGCCTTGAGATGCATTTTGGTGGTAAAAGTGACAGAGACGCCCCAAACAGGTATATTTCAGTTCCAAGCTTGAAGTACATATATTGACTGAAAAGGTGATCCACCAAATGGCTGATGAAACCATGCCTCTCAATGCTATGTTTTTTTATTCCATTAATGACATTTTGCTTCTAAATTTCAAATGTTTGTTTTTCTGTGCATGGATATGTCACTTTGCATTAGCCTCACAATCTGTTGTAATGCGCAGAATTCCGTTACATCTCGTATCATCTCGAACACCAACTTATGTCAACACTTCTTCTATGAACGTTGCGCACATGTGTGTTTTCCGGGCGCATCCTTTTGTGCGATCGGACCTGGAGGAAGTGACAAATATAGCCGCAGAGATCACAGGCTTTTATTGTGGATTAGCATGCTAATAGGCTTGGAGCTTGATGTGACAGAGCTGGCTTCCCCTCAGAATCGGACAGCCCCGGGTGAGAGAAGAAGACGGGGAGGACGGGGGAGGATGGCGGGGGGTGGGGAGCAGGAAGCAGCTAAACATGGCTGAAAAGGGGGCGTGGCCGTGTGGAGGTGGCGTCCAGAGTTATTGCTAATTAGCATGTGGAGAGAAAGGTTCTGACACCGGAGTCATAAGACACAGTGACTTGTCTCTCCTCCTCCCCTTTGTCCGTCACGGCTCACAGCTGTGGACTTAAGCACTTCTTTTTACCTAAAAGGAAATCTAAAGATAATCCCAGGTTTGATGTTCGGAGAAACTTAGCGGCAAGGGGGGAAAGGGGTCATCGGTGTATAGGCCAACGGGTTTAAGCTGTAAACCGCCAACAAAAGCTCCGACAAAGTGAGTGCCTCCCAATCTCATTGAGTGTATTAGGAAAGTTCTGAGCGCCGTCTCCGTGCATGACTGAACTCCCGGAAAGAATAGAGAGATAAGCAACACTGCGACTTTAAAGCTCATTTTGAATTTGCCTCAAAAAACAACATTCAATAGAGGCGGGCTGATTCCTCTCACCTGTTTCTGTGAGTGTCAGAAATCAGTTGACGTGTTGTGTGAAAAGACTGACATTTCTCTTGTTGCTTAATCGCTTCTTTTGGAGCTGATTGAGAAGGTGATCAGCGAGTTTCAGGAAAGCTCAAGGAAGAGGAGAATTATTTTGATGCGCTTTGCAGTTTTGGAAAGTTTGCTCACTTGTTTAGTTATGGTGCATTTGGATTCAAAGTAAGTTTATTTGGCATTTGCAGCAAAATTACTTTGGAATACATGTATACCCGTAAACTCGGACTGCTATAGTAACTTGTAATGTGAATTGTACATAATATACCTTGCACAAAATAGATTCTTTTTGTTCTTTTTAACATGCAATCTGAGTGATTCTAATTATGCCTTATCTAATCTGATGTGTCAAGAAAAGTACTGAGACTGTTTAACGGGATCTTAAAGGTATATAGGAGGATTTTTTTATTTACCTCTGGGTGGATCATCAAGACTATAGATCCTCCCAATTGTCAATCATTCTGGTGATGCGGGCTCGTCAAATAAGACCAGAGAGTTTTGTTCCAAGAGTAGAGAGGGCAGGTTTTTCCTAAAATATGGGAAAATCCTCCTATATACCTTTAAGGAAAAATGCCTTGATTTCAGTTTCCAGTTGTTTCAGTGTTTTCACACAGAATGAAGACCCAGCAAGCATTTTATATGACAATTTGCGTCACAACAAAGACGCCAGCCCACAGGTGTTAGCTTGGCCAAAACAACAGACATAACTGAAGTCGCCGTGACCTTAAAGGCCTGATCACTTGAATATTGTCTTGCGTTTGCCCATTTTGTGAAGGCCAGATTCAACACATGTGCAAAAGTACCACAGTGAGCACCCGACAAGTCCATAAATAACTAAAATCATATTCATAAAAGTGCATCGGCTTGAGAGCACCTTAAACAGCTACAGCCTCGGTTGGCTTCGTGTGCTCTTGTACAAGGACAAAGCTGCAGCGCATTACTGTCGGAGAAGATAATGCCGCACCGATGATGGCGGCCGACCTTGACCTCCTCCTCTGACAGTAACCTTGTCATCTCGCGATCCCTAGTCTCTGGCACACATCTGAGGAGGCTCTCTGATGTCACACGCCTTACCTAGATCCTCACCTCCACCGTTAGCACGCCACCGACAACCTCACCCTCGTTTGAACCTTCCCACGTCCTTTCGAAGATGGAAGAGCGGCCTCAACCACTTTGTTTTGTCAGTTTTGTACTTTACCTTCTCGGTTAAAACGCCGCATTGAGCTTATGCCTCTTCTTGCTGTCTCCAAAGCAGATTAATTTACCATAAGAATGTGATTTTCACTTATACAGCGCTGGTATTTGGCAGAGGCGAGTGTGGGTGTGTTGGGCCAAAGCTCAGCCCTGGGTGATCTGGGGTCTTACCCGCGGGGACATCTCTGGTTGAATGAGCCAAAGTAATGTCACACTCTGGAAACATGATTAATCTATTCCTGCCTGTCATTTTCCACAAGGAGGCGCAGGTCAGCAATGCAATCTGGCTGTAAATGGATTAGTGGGACAGAGTCAAACATTGCTTGATTTATGAATGCGTTTATTTTGTTAAAGGTAGTCCCACAAATCTTATGTTCAGGGGAGGTCTGAGTCTGTTGCACCTTGTTGAAACTGGGGCTTAATGAAACCCCTGGCAGAGATGGGACTATTAAAACTGAGCCTCCCATAATGTTCTGGCCAGAGCTGTCAGAGAGAACACTGCTCTTAGTTGTCTCTCTTGTTTTACTGTTACTCGACTCATCGCAGGCCGAGTGAGAGGGAGAAGCAGGCCACCAGCTCTGTGCCGTACACTGCATAAAGTGAGAGAAGTGGGAGGAAAACATACTGTGTAGCTCTCTGTGAATCCATAATAGCGCCACTTAATGACAAAAACTATCTGGCCGTGCTGTCACTGAGACTGGGCTTCCTTGGAGCTTCAGAGCCCCTGTTACAAAACACAAGACAGTAGGGCTTTGACAGCTCCAAGTGTCTAGGGCCAGGGAAATAATTGATAGCAGGCTGCCTGCATCCAAGGTCCTTTAGCAGTAATTGCAAGCAGAATCTGACTCTCTGATCTCACCAGTGGTATTGGCTATGCCAGAACAGCCTGGCTTTGACAGATTGCCTTCCTGCAGTAATAACTTAGGCATGTTCCCTGTTTTCTCACACAAGGCCATACAGCACTGTCTCACCACAGAACTCTCCCTGAATCATCAGACATTATTGTAGATGTGTACTTTTCCTTTAGCTGCGGCTTCATCTTTCTGACGGGACACTAACAGAATGGTTTCGGCTGCAATAAGCGCACAACTACATTGTTTTCTACTGACATACTGCATTTTAGATTAGTTGAAGATTTCAGGACTTCAAAGTCCTACAGCGTGACGACATATATTTTATGGCATATGGCACATATCTCCTGAGCAGCAGATGGACGCAGCAGATTTGATTGATTTGTAATTGTGTCATAAAACCAGACTTTTATTAGCTTTATGATGGAGTTATGCAGGTTTTATTTCTCTGAAAAAGTTGCATTTTCTAACATTGTCTGTTGTCATGGTTATTGTGTTTGAATGACAGCCTGAAGGTTTTATGGCCTTTGGAGGCATGCCCCCCCCTCCCCCCCGCCCGCTCTCTGTGGCACTCTTCCATGTTCACTGTCTGCTCTGTAAAGCACTCAGGGATTTATTGTCAGCTGGAGTTTCCTTGATGGGGTGTAATAATACCGTGCCTTTCTCACCCACTAAGGTGGTGGATCCCCCTCCCTCGGCCGATGAGAGGACCCCTGCGGGCTGCCCTGTGTGCGCCTGTGTTCTGTGGCAGACTTATAAGCCTGGCAGCTCCACCCCATGGCTGTCCAAACAAGGTTTCTCTACAGGCGCCTACATCAAAAAGAGCAGTGGAAGGGGGCTGCAGGAAAGTGAAATGGCAGGATGTAGCCTTTAGTTATTTATTTATCTCGCCTTTCACAAGAAAACACAAGAAAGAAGATAAAAGCTGTTAGCCCGTTGGGGTGGGAAGGCGTTATTGTTTAGCATCCCAGCAAGTCAGACTACCTCCTGCAAATTACACTGGAGATAATGTGTGATTTTTGAGTGTAAGCATGCAGGAATCAGAATAAACCAAAATAAGTTTATACGAAAAATAACACCACTTTAAGTATAGTGTCGAGAAATGAAGACAAGGCAGCTGCGATCGCACCTCTAACCAGGTTTATTTTTGAGTCCTTCCAGATCAAACAAAAAGAGACAAAGCTTTTTTTTAATGATTTTTATCAATGTGAATAAGAACAGATACGTCATAACTTGAGATATTTAGTGGCACAGATGCTTTAGATATAGATACTGTAGTAACAATGTGGGTCAGACAGAGACATTTTGTTCTTCAGTCCACAGACAAATATGCAGGTCAGATTCCACAGTAGTTAGTCAGACAATTGTGAACATATATTTCAAGTGACAAGCAAATAAATAGGGATGCGTGAAATAATAAGCCACTCTTCTCTACTATTTTTCTACAGCGCTCGCTTGAGAAAAACCCTTAGAATCAGATGTGTCGGCGATGCGAACATGTAAATAAACTTTACCATGTGGTCATGCTGAGGCGTGGGATTTATCGCTCTGGCATTCAGTCCTCCCCGGCCCATCCGTCAAACCTGCTCTGCTCCCGCCCCCTGCACTGGCCCCTCCCACAGCCCAATCACAAGACCATCAGCTGAACTGTGGTCGACCTGCAAACACCGAGGCCAGATGGGTTCAGATGGCAGCGAGACAAGCCTATAGCAGCAGCATTAGCTACAGTTTTCTTTGACATGCTACAACCGTCCCTACAATAAACGCTTCTGTATTCTATTTCTGAAAACATCTGAACTACTGTTTCTTTTTGACTGTCTTTTGTTGTTGTTCTGCCCTGGCTACATCCAATATCGCTAATATAAACAAGCTAGTATAACCTTTACACACAGGGGAGGGAGGAGGATCACAAGCTGAGTAGTCTTATAATTAGTCTGTATTTTTGGGTCAATTTTTTTCTTGGTAATGCAACAAACCTAGCCTGGTTGTACCACACCATAGTACAAATTACATTTCGAATTAAGGTCTGGAGATGCTCTATTGACCTCCGTTAAGAGGTGGGAGGGGTTAACTCCTTTTGCAGATTGAAATGATTGGATCTGAGTTTACGACTCAATCGTAGTGCGCCCGATTGAGTCGTTAGCATTTAGCCTAGCCATCTCCTTTGCCGCTAACGGAGCCAGTGGGGAGTAGCGCCACAATTTTTGCCAGCGATTACATTTGCTAAACATTCCTCTTGCTCCGACTTCAATTTCTTGATAGATCCAGACCAGATTACTTTACTATTGCCAGAGGTGGGACAAAGTCATTGTTTAGCAAGTCACAAGTCAGTCTCAATTCATTGCCCTCAAGTCCCGAGTCAAGTCACGAGTCAAGACAGGCAAGTCCCGAGTCGAGTCCAAGTCAAAGGCCAACAAATCTCAAGTCAGTCCCAAGTCCTACGGTTTGACTTTCGAGTCCTCTCGAGTCTTTTTGACTGCGATTTGTTTCTTGTTGGTCTCCACGTACTTTTGTAGGCAAACAAAATAATGTTAGGAATCATTTTGCTGGTGCATTCTCGTTGGTCTCTGACCCATGGACTAACAGTTTGTTCCATGTCGTTGGCTGCTGGTAAATCAAAACTATCTACGTGATCTAATTGGATGTTGTGCCAGATGCAGGCTCAGTTACACATGCACAGACCACACATAAAATCAGAGCAGTCCGTGTCAACATACTTTTTATCTTTGGGGTTTTTAATGGGAAGTAGCAAGTGCAGCATATATGAATAGTATGCTTATATTATAATCAATTAATCTCAGTATTGGGCTGGGACCTGTATCTATATAATCAGTTTAATGTCCGTAGTGGTTATTGTTCCAAATGTCCTACTGTAGGATAGGGGTAGTATGAGGGGTCCAGGCTTTGGACCTGGGGCAGCTCGCCATCAAAAAAAAAAAAAGGGGGGGGGGGGGGGGCAAAGGACTGAAGGGACCAATGGAGGGGAAGGAACCTGGCCTGTATGAACTGGACCAGCATTAGTAATATCTCATAATTACCAATATATCATTACATAATAAAATGTCTCATATAAATTAATTCAATCAGTCAAAGCACTGATTCTCATATCAATGCACCATAAACAATAGTGCAAATATTAATCTAGCTTAGTGCACATAATTCAAAACAACTATCTAATGTATGCAAACTTTAGCAGGAGGAGCACAGCAAAAACATACTCATAATAATAGGCCTCGGCGCCCACACAGAAAAATATAAGAAAGAGCTAACAGAGCAGCGCAGGCTAGCGCTAGTTTGACTCACCAGTTCCTCTTTAAAACACGGCACACAGTGTGACAACTGCGTCGATTCAATTGTATGAGGCGCCTGTAGTGAAAGCATATCAATTACGGTTTGTAGAACAAAATATGACGTTAGGTCGCGATAAATACCTGCAGCTCGCTCATTTCCAGCTCCCCTACGACAACACACCCACCGCGCTTGTTTAGGGAGCGCTACAACTACCGCGAGGCTTTGTTTCTTCAGAGACGGTGTTCTGCCGAGTTGTGCCGCTTAGATAGGCATAGATAGAAAGAGAGATGCAGAGAAAGGTAAAAATGGCCCGGGTTACGCAAGTCTTTGCAAGTCAATTGGTGCAAGTCCAAGTGAAAGTCAGAGTCATTGATGTTAAAGTCCAAGTCGAGTCGCAAGTCTTTTTATATTTGGTCAAGTCGAGTCTAAAGTCATCGAAATCATGACTCGAGTCTGACTCGAGTCCAAGTCACATGACTCGAGTCCACACCTCTGACTATTGCATTCTTCTTGCCAAACTACAACCTGCCCATTCGACACTAACTCTTGACGTCACCCACATCTAACTACAACACCCGCCTCCCGTGCTCGCTGATTGGTCGGATGGAATTCTACCGATTGTAATCGCAAACACAGGGGCCAGACCCAGACGTTACATGCACGGCAATGATAACTGAGCGGAGTGTACGGACGGCTAAGGCCAGGCTACAACAAACCACCACAACAATCCAGCAAATACAGCTGTAATACATTCATATAAAAAAGGAGTGGGATGCACCAAAAAAGCAACAAAAATAGCTCAAACCAGATAATATCAACTTACCATTAATTCTCATAATAACAGTTTATTGGGATAACAGGGGCAACAGTGGCTCAGTTGGAAGAGAATTGGCCTTTGGGCCTGAAGGTTGTGGGTTCGATATTCCCACAAGACCTGCTCCAACTGATGTAGTCGTTGAGTCCTTGGGCAAGACACTTTCCCCCACATTGCCCGAAGCCCAGCTGAAAGACCAAGGCTGTGTCACCATTGACGAGCAGCCATCTTTCCGTGGACCCACCACCTGCAGGAAGATCAGCGAGGAACTGGTGCTTTGAGCATTGGGTGGCAGCTTGCATTGCCACCCCCCAACCCAGAAATGGATTAATAAAGGGGCAGAAAATGAATGAATGAATGAGTATAGTGAACGCCATACGAAAAAGTAGCCTTATCAGTGTATACAACAAACAAAATTGATAATGTGTTTTAGATTATTTCTAAAGTATTTACCTCTGGCTACTTCAGTGTTATTGATTAAGCCACAGATTACACACAACAATCTTTTGTTGACATTTGGCCTTGTCCAGTGTACTCCAGCTGAGAGTGTAGCTGCCTCCACTTTCACTTATTCACAATGTTTGTCATACCAATGTTCCCAAATTACGGCGACATAACTGGAGTCTTGTCGTCGGCTGTGATTACACTCAATAACATCTGGCTGTTGCAGAAGTGCACGGTAAATAACAGCTGTTGGAAACATTGTAACCCCCTGTTTTTCAGTTTGTGTGAATATGGAGGCAATTATATGTGTTTGATTGTCTCTGTAATGACTATGTGGTAATAACATGAGCTTGGAATAGAATCCACAATCTAAGGTCTTTTTCTCCCATGTCTTTTTTTTTACAGACATTCAAGACATTCTAGTTTTGATAAGTAAAATTTGATAATTTTGTTGTTTCTGGTTTTTTTGTGGCCAGTTTTTCAACCACACTTGGAACACTAAAAACGGTGGTGCCGTGGTTAGCGATTGTACTTCACAGCAAGAAGGTCCAGGGTTCGAATCCACCTTCAGGCCTTTCTGTGTGCAGTTTTCATGTTCTCCCCGTGTCTGCGTAGGTTTCCTCTGGGTGCTCCGGTTTCCCCTACCACTAAAAATATAATAAGTTTGGCATGTGCCTCCTGTAAAGGTGACAGCTCCCAACTCTGTGTGTTCTCTGAATACCAGAGAATATCCCACACAAACACAACAAGTGGACTCTCCTTAAGACCAGAGAGTGTCGACTGCAGTCTTCCTCAGCGTGGTCACGTGATGTTTCTGTGACGTGTCATGTGACATCACATGACCACTCTGAGGAAGACTGTAGTCAAAACCCAAAAATAGTTGTGTCTTTACTATTCTCACCAAGTCTCTTTCTCAAGTGTTACAGACTTGAAAAGAGTCTGAAATTATCCTCAATATATTTTTACAAACTCACTTTTTTCCATTTTCATTACAATGACATGTAGAAATAATCCATAAAGATTCTTTGGGCTGATACAGTATTAATTATTATGAACTTTCCCCTTTTTTGTTACGGCCACAAACATTCTTTAATTTTATGCAAGACCAACACAGATTGACAAATACGTAAATGAAGTGAAACCTGAACAATGCATCACTGCATGAAAAGTTAGATTTTCGTCACCCCAAACGGCAGGAAATCACCCTCTTTTTCGGGTATCTCAGGCAGTTTTCAAGACCCGCTGTTAGGGTGCCCTGAGCTCCAAACTGTCGCATCCGTACCATGCTAATGTCCCTACTTTGCATATGAATGCAGCGAAACCGTGCGGCCGCCGAGCGCTAATGGCCCTAATTAGCATATGAATGCAGCGTCTGGCCGGCTGCGTGAATACCCTTTTCACATTGGCATACCACTACTTTCAAACAAAACAAAAAACACTCGTGATTAGCTGAAAAATCACACGTGACCAGGCCAAGCCAAATGAAGCTAACTACTCATTGGATGAAGTCACTACTTTCAAATAAGTATAATCCCTCGTGATTGGCTGGCAGATCTGTCATTATTGGTCACCCTGCCTCATAATTTAATGTAATAATATTAATATAAATATATATTTATTCATATTATGCTGCATATATTTTATCTTTATATATGTATATATGTTCATCTTTATATTTATGTAGGCTTCTACACTATTATTAGGCCATCAACGACATTTATAGAGGAAATGAACATCTACCAGGATTATGAAAATGCAAAGAAAGTTTTATTAAAAAAGGTTTATTATACACACACACACACGGCTATCTGCCCACACATTAATTTAAAAAAAATAAATCACAAGTCCGTGAACAGCAAAGCCTCCCCTGGGTTGTTGTCTGTTGGCTGCCTTCTTTCCGAGGGAGGTCCGTGGCACAGACGTCTAATGTGCGTGGCTCTGAACTTCCGCGCCGCCTCTAACCGGGATTGCAGCTTCACACAGAGTTCAGAGAGCTCCGGCTTTCTAAAAGACGGCGACCTCACAATCCACCCAGACACACCGTCCACAACGCCTTCCTCTTCATCTGACATTAGCTCTACAGTGGCAGACTTCCAGAGATCCACCTCGTCAGCTTCGAGCACACCCCGTCTCAATTTCAGCAGCTGAAAAAAACAAACAAAAAAGAATCAGTAAATTTTAATAGCCACATCAAATCCGTGACAGCAGCTTTTTCCTATTTAAACATCGACTGAATCAAGAACAGTGTCTAAAGCAGATTCTTATCCATGCATTTGCATCTGTATAACAGCTGCAGACCCTGCAGTACATTCAAAATGCACCACCTGAAGTCCTGACCAGAACCAGGAAGTACGATGGCAAGGCAAGTTTATTTGTACAGCACAATTTCATACACAAGGCAACTCAAAGTGCTGAACAAAATAAGAAAGCATTAAAACCCTAAATAATCACAGTACATTAAAAAGATAAAAATATAAACTCCCTTAGTTGTATGCACAGCTAAACCAAACAGTTTTAACCTGGTTTTAAACATTGTCAGAGAAGAGGCCTGTCTCACTTTAGCTGTGCTACAACTGAGGGATTTTATATTTATCTGTGTTAATGTACTGTGATTATTTATTTTAATGCTTTCTTTTGTTCAGCACTTTGAGTTTCCTTGTGTGTGAATTGTGCTACACAAATAAACCTCCCTTGCCTTACTGTGCAATGCACTGTTAAGTCTGCTGCCATTTCCGCTGACGGCCGCATGAAGTTGTGAAGGACACAGGTTGCCTTAACACACACACCAGTCGAGCCCTGGAGAGGCGGTAGTTAAAAGGTGTTGCTTTCAGGGGGAAGACCGCCACGGCTGGGATAGGGACGCATCATGTGCCGCTGCAGTGGAGCGCCAGTCGTCTGTGGTGGGAACCGCCATGAACTCCTCCACCGGAAAGTCCCAGATGGCCGTAACTACCTCGGGGATGACTTTGGAGACAGTGGACACACCGACCCTGAAGCTGCTCCCGATGGTAGTTTACGAATCCCCAGTGGCAAGGAACCTGATAAAATAAAAAGAAGACATTAATTGAATGTGCACATGGAGTGAGAGACAAATGTCCCATAACAATAAAAAGGTGCTTTGTGACTGGTCTGTGAAAGGCGCTATATACATGAAGAATAGACACAGACACACACACACACACACAGAGAGACAAGGAAACACAGACAGAAATAAACACACACAGACAGACTCGCTTCCACCCTCACCATGTGTGGAATGATTGGAACAATATCTGAACTCTGAACATTGTAAAGCGCTTTGGGTGACCTTGGTCTGTAGAATGCGCTATATAAATAGACATTACTTACTTATAAAGACACGCACAGAGACAAAGACACACACAAACAGACCGAAAAGACACACACACAGAGACAAAGACACACACAAACAGACCGAACACACACACACAGAGACAAAGACACACACAAACAGACCGAACACACACACAGAGACAAAGACACACACTCACATACACAATTACTGACCGTAGGCAGATGGAGGGGCGCTCTGCAGGAGAGATGGAACGTCTGTAGTTGGTGTCTTGGTGAGAGATTCGTGCACCTACGCGGCCCAACAGGTCATCGAACTGGGCCACCGTGAGACGGAAGTGCCGCTGAAATCGCACCTCATCCAGCCGCAGCTCTTGTAACAAATGGTGGAACTCGCCATACTCTGACCGTCTCTGGAGGATATCGTGAACCCAGACACGCCGTCGTGCACGCCGCTAGAAAACAATCAAAAGAGTGGTATGAATAAAAATCAAACACAAGACGCAGTAACATGAAACAAGGAAGGAGAAACAAGTCACTTACACACAATAACGTCTTTATCAACATCATGGAAATGTGGACTTGCAGATATCGTGTCGAGCAAAAATGAGGTCACCGCCTCATTACGAGGAGAGATTAGTCTGAAAACAAAATGTACAGTTATGATTGGTATCTATACGTATCCATTTCCTTAATGTGATATTCTATAGCTTTTACCCTTGCTCTGGCTCGTAGCGCCTGGAATTCCGTCTCCGAGTTGTGAAGACGACGTACCGATTCCTGTAAATGACAAAACATACACTTTAATAAAGCTTGTTCTTTTGCAAGGCTACTAGACTCTAGCCCTACTGGCAGGCACCGCACCTTTCACGGGCCTATTAACTCCGATTATAGGCCTAGTAGGCTACTCTTATCTTTGGTTTTCGGCTAGGCTACTTAGCTTAGCTAGCAGTCATTGAACATATTCTTACCGCAAGCTTGAGATTTGTTGTTCTTTATAGCTTTATACCATCTATAGCTTAGTTAAGAGACCGGGTCGAACTTGCGCTCCACCCACTCGGGCCAGGCTACTCTTATCTTTGGTTTTAGGCTATGCTACTTAGCTTAGCAAGCGTTCATCAACATAATTCTTACCGCAAGCTTGGGATTGCGGACCCGTCTTCTCTTGTCGGAGTTCGTCTCTCCCGCGCTGTTTAACTCCAGAGCCACCAACTTCTCCTCCAGGGACAGCAACCTGGAGTCTACAGAATCCAAGCGCTCCTTTATATCGGCAGTATTTAGATTAATCTGACGAGACAGTCCGCTGATAGCAATCAGCAGTCTTCTATCGTCAGTCTGCGGACTGGCTGTAATCTGTGGATCGCGTCCAAGAGGAGTTGAAGGCGAGTGGAACGTGAGACGTAAGTACTGCTGTGTCGTGCCCATAACCTCCCACGTGATTGGACGAGGAGTCGAAGGCTCGTCAGGCCCCTCCAATCAGATGGGAGGTCATTGTTACAGGGAAAGACTAGCGAAACTGGGTTGCAACCACGTGACCAAAAGGGGCGTGGCTTGAGGCTGTAGGACAGGAAGTATTTTTCTCCTATTAAATAGAATCTTCTTCTTTCTTCTTCCATATTAGGCATTTTCCTAAAAATCAACACCCGTTAGTTAATCAATTTTAGTGAAATAAAGACTCCATCAGTTCCCCACTTGATATGAGCAGTTGCCACAACTGCACACGCCACAGAAAAAGAGCATTTTGACTCGGAATGAGGACTTCCTCATGGCTTTACAGGATTTACAGCAGATCAGTGGAAAAACTGGACAACCATTTACTCACTGTTTTGTCTGAAGGGTCTTATCGACAACAGACACTATGACATGTGGTTTGACTTTGTTCAGGCTTGTATCATACTTTGCTCCAGAGTCATATCTGTCAATAGACTGGAAGAAGCAGATGGATACCTGCAGACTTTTCTCTCCAAATTTGTCAAACTGTTTGGCCCATTGCACTGCACGCCCAACATGCATTTACATCTCCATTTGAAAGAATGCATGTTGGATTACGGACCAGTTTATTCTTTTTGGTGTTTTTCATTTGAGCGTTTTAATGGAACACTGGGAAAGTTTCATCACAACAATAGGACAATTGAAGTCCAGATTATGAGGCAATTTCAGCAGAGCCAACAGCTTCATATGCCATGGACGTGTGAATATGGTACAGAATTTGCCAGTATTTTAGGAAGACAAATGGTTGGGACTTTGTCATGCAATGACACAGCTGATATGCTTTACGTGAAGCACACTGCTTTGGTGTCAGCGGAAAGACTTTTCTTAGAAAACTGTACAGTGGTGCCTCTGTCTCCATTCCACCAGACAATCTTGGATGTGTCCGACAGACATGCAATGTTGACAATGTATCACCAGATGTACCCTTGTGTCACTGATGTTGACTGCTTTGCCATGACATGTAAACGCGTAACATATATGAATGTAACTTACTCAATCGATGGATCTAGAGCAGAAAGGTCAGCATATGTATATGCTAAGTGGTGTGGGAACACTAACAGTTTTGAGGAACCCATCCTTGACCCTTTAGCAGAACTACGACCAGCCATTATAAAACAGTTTATGGTTGTTAATGTTGTCTCAAAGGGTACTGCATTTAAGCACGTTATTGCACAAGTTTCCTGGCTTCATCCCCATCCGGACAGACATTTTTATGGAAAGCCAATAGAAGTTTGGTGCTTGCAGGGAACAGACACGTCGCATCCAGCATCATTTCTGCCAGTTGAGCGTATTGCTGGGAGATGTGTGGTTAATACAACCTCTGTGCATTTAAGTAAGACCAAAGAAAAGGTCACTGTAGTCATGCCACTATGCTCAGTAGTTGAGCTCTAAGAGACCTTAATCTCTGCAGACCTGTCATTCTGATTTTAATGTTTGCATGGAGTGCACATTTTACCTTGCTGATTTTGATTAAATCTTTTTGAAGTCAATTATTTTGTATCTTGTTTTTTTTACATGAAGCTTACTTTTATTAAATAAATCAATCCAAGCTAAAATGAGTCTCTTATTAGGCTACTCAGCCTGATCTATTTGTACTAGAGATTTTCTTACCTTGTCACCCTGATTAGCATTTGTATAGCTCACAGCATTTTCATTTGCATGTCAAAACCTCCCCTAGAATTAGGAGGAGGGGGGAACAACAGCCAAGCAAATTCCTGTGAAGAGCCGTTTACACCTGAACTTCTGCAATCATTTACAGAGCCGCTTAGGGACGAAAATCACACTTTTCATGCAGTGGCATGTCATTATTATTGTGTAAGAAAAAAAAAATAGTGGGAAATGTGTAATTCACTATAAATGGGATACATCAATATCAAATTATTGTAGAAATAACACGATTGTTTATTTTTTAGCCGTACATACAACTGAGGGACTTTAGCTTTACCCTTTTTAATGTACTGTGAATATTTATGATTTAATTCGGGCGTTCTGCTCTCCCAAAATTCCATCCGATGGGCGGGTGAGCGACTGAATTTTGCGTTGCATTATGGGTAACACTTGCCTTCGCAACTTCCGGTTCTCTCTGCCCGGTGCATTTTCTCTAAATGGTTGAGTGTTTTCGTCATTTTCTGTTGAATCCGGTTTTATCATGGGCTTCAAGTGTGCCGCCGCTAATTGTCGATCTAACAGCAATAAAAAACTGAGTCAATATCCGTGGATGTCAAGCGTGCGGTGGGTCAAGTGGCCGAAAACACAGCCGTTTTCGTTCACTCTGCTCGCTGTCATCTTCTTCTAAATCTTCATAAACACCATCCGCTCGTTGAACTAGCAACAACAATTCCTCCTTTCGTTTTCCCACACTGCAAATACCCTTTCGCTTCAACCTTTCACGCAATTCAGGCACTGTCAATCGTTTGTTGTTTTCGTGAGCCATATTCGCCATTGTATGAAATCAACCGGAAGTGAACTGGGCAACAAACGGTGTCATTTTTTGATCACAGCGCCGCTCAGTGGATGAAATTTTGGGAGAGCAGAACGCCCGAATTGTCTCTATCTTCGTTGTTTTGTTTTGTTTTGCTACACATATAAACCTGCCTTGCCTTACAACTGTCAACCCAATCACCCAAGAAAATATAATAATAACAGTAATAATGAATACATACATTCTGAACCAATTTGATTTCTTTGACATTTGATATTTTTCTTACTATAATGAGACTTAACTAATTATAATTTTCGTTTTGTCTCGTCTCTACATTCTATTCCACACACCGCACACAGCGTGACGATGAGTTCTTAAACCCAGAACATGGAAAGGGCAGCTCTCTTGACACCTGCCTCATATGATGGAGGGTCAGCTGGGACGCTCTTTGATCACGGTGACAGTTTGACGGCTTGGGGAGGGAGTGGCATTCATAATCCTTTAGCTTAACTTGTGCTTTTTGGCCTCGCCGGGGTCCTGTACAGGGGCTGCAGCAGTGGGCTAAAGTCTTAATCAAACAGCATGCTCCGTGGCCCAGTGAAGGGACAGGCTCAAAGTGAAAGAGAGAGTGCGGAAGGGCACATTTAGGAGAGGGATGAACTCACACAAATGGAGGATTAGACTGTTTTGCTTACTGGCAAATGGGGAAGCATTAGGGGGCATTGAAGGGAGAAAGCTCTCAGTTTGGGCCATGGATTGTTGTATTGTCAGTGAATGGTAATTGGCTTTAAAGGCCTTATTCCAGCAGCTTTCACCAACAGCCACATGCACAATACTTTCAAGAACTCAAAATCTACAACATGTATGGACATATATCAACATTCATGAACATTGGTCTCTCCATATGGACCAAGACAAATGTGTATATTTTGTGTCTTAACTGTTGGTTCTCTGATCTGTGTTGGAGATTTCAATGGTTTTGCTAAGTCTCTGAGATGACTTCTGTTGTGATTTAGGGCTATACAAGAATAAATGGTATTATATTGTAAGCATCAATGTGTAAGTTATTGTATGTCTTCCTTTGTATATATTTTTTTTCTATGTTGTGGTCTTGGAACACTATTTGCTTGAAATAAATAAATAAATACAATTAAAAGTAAACAAAATAAGAAAAACTTTATTCGTCCTTCAGTGAGGAAGTTTCAATGTTGCAGCGCACATACAGGACAGAGTAAACAATATACACTACCGTTCAAAAGTTTGGGATCACCCATAGAAAACACCATGAAAAGTCACACTTATTCACCACCATATGTTGTGAAATGAATAAAAAATAGAGTCAAGACATTAACAAGGTTAGAAATAATGATTTGTATTTGAAATAAGATTTGTTTTACATCCAACTTTGCTTTTGTCAAAGAATCCTCCATTTTCAGTAATTACAACATTGCACCAAAAACCAGACATTTGCAGCTAGAATAGTCATTTACCACATAAGCAATGCATAGAGTATTCTTTACAGTTAAGACTAGTTTAAAGTTATCTACAGTGCTTTTCCTTCAAAAATAAGGACATTTCAATGTGACCCCAAACTTTGGAACGGTAGTGTAAGTAGCTGCTATGTTTCTTAGCTTTAGCTGTAAATGCTTCATCTATTTTTGTGGTAGGTGAGGGTTGAGATATTTAGATATAGCTTGTGTGTGTGTGTTTGTGTCAGATTCATTACATACAAAGTGAGGTATATCAAGTACATTTATTTGTTAAAACCCCAAACTAAAACTTTTCAGGAATTTGAATATTTTGAAAATGATAACTGTGAACGGATGCCATCACAAATCCAACTTGGGACAAACGCAAACAATATCCAAAATATTTGATCTTCAAGGTCACGGTTGACATCTGTTATGGATTTGCACAACACGCATCTCATACATTCAAACCAGTTTTTATATCTCTGTGTTTTGAAATGACACATGTTAAAGCAGTCAGACACATTTTTTTTTAAATATTGTGGAAAAAGTAGTCAAGTTATCATGTGTTTTCAAATAGTAATGGAATTGACCAGATGCCTATAGTCTTCAAAAATTTATAAAAAACATTTTGGAGCAGACCGATGAAAATAAATCAATGGGATGCGTTTACCTCCCTTCACCCTCTCCTTGTTTCTCTCGAGTGCCCGCACCTGAGTAATCGGATTCTCTAAAACCTTAAAGGGCTGAAGAGAAAGTTCCAATTTCACGTTTGCCACCCACTCTCCCTGTTTTGACAAAGTGGTGGATGTTTGGTTTGGTGGAGATGCGAGTGGAGGGGTGAGTGGTTTTGAGTCGGTGCTATGGCTAAGCTAACAAAATCGCTTACTGCACCTTTAAAATGCCCAATAAACATTGCATTTTTCTAATTCAAACTTCCAGATCACTCATATCCTGCTGTTTTCAATTCTGCCTCAGCTTTCATTTTTACAAAATAAAAAAAATAAGGTTTGGCATGTGTCAGTTTGCATGTGATGAGTTTT